TATGAATAACAGATAATTACTGTTCAATGTAGCATTAGTAAAAGTGCTGTAAAAGTGCTGTTCTTGAAGTAGTTTTGCATTTGAAATACCAAACTTGTCAATTTTTAAAGAACAATTTTCTGGAGAGCGAGATATGATAGTTGTGAGGAATGAAATAGGAATTAGGCATCCTTCTGGTCATTTGGAAGACAAATATATCAATCTTGTAGTGTACGGAGATGATAAAGGGTATTCTGCGATGGCCAAGACAGTGGGGTATCCCACTGCTATTGCAGCAAAGATGATTCTTGAAGGTATGTATGTCTCTTTCTTCCCATCTTTTAACTAAGGAGTTCTTGAAAGTAATGTGATTGCTTTAGGTGATTGCTATAAAATGCCTCCTGAAAAGGCATAACTTACTTATTATACCTATTATACCTTTCTATTTATATAGTAAGTTAAGCCTCAGTGCCCAATCATTTATTTTAGAGAGCTTCGGTTACGTTCAGTGAGATTTTGTTAAGATACGTTTGTGTTGTTCTAACCTACAAATATGTGTGTAGTAATTTCCCAGAACAATCCTATCCTCATATTTCTAGTATGTTCCCAATTTTTCTTTTTCTTTCTTTCTCTTTCTCTGAATGAAGGGAAATGAATTGTTCATTTGAAATTAATACAATTCAAGAATAAGTAAAGACACAAACCTTAACTGCAAGTAGAATTCCATTGTATCTTTTTATTAAATGAGTACCTACTCTTCCTTAAATGAAATGTTATAGAACTATTATGCTGTTTTGCCCCTCTAAAATTTCTTCAAATAGAAAATTATATTTCTTATTTTGTATTTCAGGTGAAATTAACAGCAAAGGTATGATTGTCCCATTGACAAAGGATATATATGGACCAATGCTAAAGCATATTCAAGAGGAAGGCATTGCATACACAACCCAGAGTGTTATCAGGCAATAAAGCAGAACTTCATGTTCCTCTCAGCCACCCGTCCACTGAGTTTCTAGTATGCACAAATTAAAGCTTGAAAATCTGCCATGGATACCTTCAATTGAGAAGTCTTCTGGGTTGAATCCATTGAAATGAACAGAGCAGCAAAAAAGGATTCCTATTACCTTTGGCACAGGCTTTCAATGAGATTATCCTATTGAATTGGGTTTATTAAAGGCTACAATTCCAGTGAACTTATTTGGAAGCAAATCTCAACGACTTCTGTTCCATTTGTGTACCACAATATTATCACAATATTTATCATAGCATGATATTTTTTTCTTCAGAAATGTAGGATTTTTATACATGACGCAAGGATCTTAAGGTTGTGCGAAACTATTTTTCATTGTTTCATAAATGCTGCAAAATTGCTGCATATGGTGAATATTAAGACTATTTTCTACTACAGTATTTAAAATGGATTTCTAAACAATGTATTTTTAAATTTAGAAAGATTTGCTGTTTATTAGGAATGAAGAGGTTTATGACCTAAGTGCCCATACTGTTGATTTTGAAAAGCTCCCAGCTTCACCCAGATATGCTTAAATTTTGTTATTCATTGGTCTTCTAAGAATGTGTAAGGAATCATTCATTTTTCCTTGAGCCATTTTTGTTGTCACTTTGTCATTTGATTCGTATGCTTGATGAATATCTACACTGATTCCTTGAATGATAACTATAGAATCAAAAGTAGTTTGGCTTTTTTTTAAAAAAATGATATATTGTTCAGCTAGCTGAGTCTTAAGCACTTCCAGTTAAAGGCTACAGTTAACAGAATTGGAAAATATCTGTCTCTGTAACTCTGAAGATCTTTTCCTAAAACGGAGATGTTAATGTGTAATAAACCAGCCTTTCCTATCTTGGTTATCCTTCAACGGTATTGGGACTTGCAGATTCCCATATTATTAGAATGTATGCACAGTTCTTTGAATGTCATAAAAACTGATCCAGCTTTGCAAAGAAGATATGATTTTATAACCAAAGGGAAATATGTACTTTTAATTTAGCATTTTTATTGAGAATATGATTGTTCTAGACACTTCTATAATATATGTTTAAAATATTATTGTGGAGGAAAAATGATCTACTTTGCTTTACATTTGCAAACTGTTATATTCCTTGAAATTATGTTTTATATATTGGAGAACTTCTAAATTCTGAATTGATATGTAAAGTTGCCAACTAGTTTATTTATTTTCATTATCTTGAAGACAGAATATTTTTTGGTGCCTTTAAGATTCTTACATGTTTCAATATTAGAGAGAAACAATATATTAGAGAAATATCTGGTATATAAAAAGAAATCTGTTCTTGTTCTGTAATGGACTTTCAGATCAGTGAGTAGTATGAATTATCTGTTTTAAATGGAAACATGGTGCATAGAAAGGAAACCACAATGTTTTCTTCCATTCTGGAATGGAAAAAGGTCTTTTTTTTTAATCGCAGGGTGGGAAAAATGTGGGCAGAATTCATTTGAAAGTATGGATAAAAACTGAGTGTGATGGGAAAAATGTGGAGTCTCACTGACATCTGCAGCCAAACACTGTTCCAAGATACAATGAGTGGTAGCTCCAACTTTTTTTTTTTTTTTTTAGTATTTTTGGATATACAAATACTAAATTTACACATAAGCCCCTGATATTTGATGTATTAGTTCAGAGCAATTTTTAATATTGCATAATTCTGTGCACATTTACTGAAAAGTAAATTCTACAGTAGCCAGGAAATGTAATCTGTTTATCAATAGAGGCTTTAGTATCATTAATATCCCTAATTTTATTTTTTTGATGCTTATTTATGTTAACAGAAGATAATTGCTATCTCAAATCATTTAGTTTTTTTTAATACAATGTCCAATGTTTTTTTCTCTGCCTGTTGCAGTCACTGAGAAATAGGAAAATTGAGTTCAAGATATTTACTGGAATGTAATGGAACTGCTTCATTTATACTTAGCAAATTTTGTAGAAAAATTTTTGTGGGCTGTTGGTTTGCAAACATTTTGCTGCCCAAATTCACAACGAAGTGTCTCACTTTGTACAATCCCAATAACGTAACAAAACATCCTGTTCTAAAATAAATCTGAAAAGGTTAAATCATAAAGCTGTGTTACTGTGCGTTTCTGTGGTTCCTGCATACAAGAATGTTCTGCCTCACCTGTGACCATGAGGTGAGAGTCCAAGCCTCCAAAGGAATATAAATAAACAGACAGGACCAGGAACGACAGCGTTAAATTCCTTTGACTGGAGAAGTTCCTTGGCAGTCTTCCAGAAGCTGTCTGCCAAGTCCGATAACAAACAAGACCATAAATCAAAAGGCAGACGCCGCACAGAGGATTTGTACAAGCTGCTTTTTCAAATAAACAAATTATCCCGAACGGGGATTCAGAGCTAACACGCCCTCTTTTATGTCCTGAGGGGCATATCCGTCTCTCAAATCAGTTCCTGACTTGCCATTTCCTTTTACGTTGAATTTCACGCTTCTGCCAGCGTCTTTGCCTTGCATCCAACCAGCATTCCTTGGCTTGATCCTCAGCCAAGGACTCCGGCACCTCTCCTGATTATCTGCCGACACCTGAGGCACAATCAGGGAGGAAGGTCCCGGAGAGGGAGATGATTCTGAAACTTCCAGCAAGGCAGGCTCAAAACTCAAGGCCAAATCCTCCTCTTCCTCATTACTCGAGTCTGTGTCTTCTAACAGAGCAGACTCAACCCTCCGAGTCACAACACAAGAATGTATGCAGAGAGAAGTGGGAGAATAAAGAAATAAGGCATAAATGTATCAGTAGAGTTTCAGGAGGGATGATACACAAGTTTAGACTTCACTCAGGGAAAAAGGCACAACCTGTTTTAAGAGGAATTTTTCAGGTAATCCAGAGTTGATTCAGATCTTTACTCTTCACCTCCCCAAATAAAAGGATTATCACGGAAGCCTTAGTTTTATATGATTTTCAGTTTACAGTATCGGAAAGGGACAAGAAATTTCCTGAATAAATCCAGAGTCACTGACATAAAAAGTATGCTTGTGAAAGGCTATTTTGTAATTTGTATTGTTTTTGAAAATTAATTACTTGCAGAGAGGTAAAGTGAAGGGTAATGTGTTACATTGGGTTTAAAAAAATCTGGTCCTTTTGCTACCTTGCCACATAAAATAAAAATGTTTCACTTTCATGTGTGAGCATCTTTTTAAGAGTAATGCTCTGGGAGCAATTCATATATGCAAGAAGAGTGTTCATGCTGCATTATTATAATATTAAAAACTTTATGTACAGTTAAGTGCAAAGAAGCATTAGATCTACATGCAGCATTGGCCTCTTTTAAAGCTAAGGTTGCACTTCAGAATGTTGCCTGATTTTGTAATGAAATATTTGGTTCTAACAATGAGAAATGAAGCACCAAGCTAAAATCAAAACATTTGGCTAACAATGTGCCAGAACGGGATGTATTAGAACCATGAATCACTATGATCACTGAAATCCTGAAAAACTTGCAAGCTTCATAGTGGTTGGACTGACATTTAGGAAAGGGGCTATGTACCAGAATGATCTGAAGGTTTGCCTTTGTTAGGATCATTTGTATTTCTGAATACTTATTTCTAAAATATATGTGCCTTTCTGTTCCCAAAAAGATTCTAAGCACCTTACAAAGACAGATGGTTCTTCACATATAAGTGTTCAACAATCATTAAAATCACAATAGCCTTGGGAAAAAAAATGTAATTTACAACCTTTCCTCAAAGTTACAGCTGTTGCACTGCTCCTTTGATCCTGTAATCACAATTCGGCTGCTAAACAACTGGCTTGATTTTACAACTGGTTGCAGTCAAGTGATCATGATTTGCAACCTTTCCAGATGGTTTCTGACAAGCAACATCAACTGGGGAAAGTGGATTTGATTAACAACCATGTGATTTGTTTAACAACATCAGTGATTTGTTTGATAGTGGTAAAGGCGATTATAAAATCAGATCCAGTACGTGATGACCACATTGTTTAGCAACTGGAATTCCAGTTCCAATCATAAAATAAAAATTCCCTGTAACTATAAAAAAAATGAAAGCAGGAAAGAAACCACCATCCAAAAAGCCCCTAGTAACAGTAAGGTTTCTTGTTGAATACCACAGAGAGGGCAAACAATCATCTTACTTGCCTCCTATAGGAAAAGGCCTCCCACAGATGGAACACAGACATAAAAACGGTTTGGAGGATCTGGGTGTCAAACTTAATCCTTGGTATCAAGGCCTGTGAACATTTTCCTGCCTTGCCAATATTTTGCTGCTGAAAAATGAAAAGGCATCTCTGCAGGTACAACGAAGGTCTTTAAGAGTGATGAGGCAGATTTTATTTTTGCGAAGTGTTCAATACAAATTGAAATATTGATAAATTCATTTTTGTAATGCCGTGGATAAAAACTATTGAAACAATGCTTAGTACAGACGTTATTTTCATAGAAACTTCGTATTTCAAAACAAGTATATCTTGATTTTCCCACAAAAGTTAAAATTACATGCAGAGATAGTTACCATTTAGGATGCATGACAATATATCAGAAGCTACTAAAACTAAGAACAGGTAATTAACTACATCATTTTAAGAATGCAATTACACAGAACTAGAAAACTGACTTTGTAGTAAAATATAAAAATCTACAATTATAAATATAAATTCGGTCCATGAAATCCACTCTAGAAATATTTACAATAAGTATCAGTTCTACTAAATGCCTACTAAAATCTTAAAATGTTGAATATTACATAGAATATATTTACATTCTACCATATTAAAAGTTAAATTTCTAACAAAGGTATTAAGAGTGCTATAAATAACAGGAAATTGGATACTAAAATGTGTGTTGCTGAAAACTTCAGCATCCATAATTATGATAAAATTTAAGTGAAAATGTAATCACAAAAATTAAAAACTAATAAAAGACTACATACCATTCTCAGAAACTACAGAGTTCAGTAAAATTAGTTCAAACATAACAAAATGCATTACGAGATTTTTTTTTTCTCAAAAAGGCACACATTGTTAATGTATTTGCAAGAAATGTTTATTCAAATCAAATGAGATAAAAAAAGATTATCTAATAGCTGGACATTACCCTGCCCCACGTAAAAAAAGGAAATATTTCCAGCTCTGGATAGTTGCTCTGTCGTATTTTGATTGAAGTCAAACTAAGGATTCCAAACTCTCTGCTGCACTGCCATCTGGTAACGCTGAGCCATTACTGTCGATGGAGATCGAGGGATTTTCTTCTTGTCTTGAACTAACAAGACTGAGGACAGTTTTGTACAAAAACTGGTAATGGTCCTAAAAGATTGTGGGTGGGTAGAAAATGATGGGACATTAGCGTAGCTTGTATGGATTACAAGAGCACATTCAGTCACCAGATAGTAAGAAACAAGTAACAGATAGTAAGAATCACTAACAGCACATTCAGTCACCAGGTAGTAAGAAACAAGTAACCGCATGCTCAGGAGAGGGTTGGGAGAGAGACACATCAATCTGTCAATCCCAAAGAAAGGAGAGCATTTTCTTGGCCAAGAATAGCGCCTAGGTGATGGTAGGGAGAAAAGGTAAAGTGACCTATTCAAAATGGTAAAAGCTGTTTCTGAGTTATAGATTAATTATTTCCATGTTCAGCAAATTGGCAAATTAATTGTGGCTAATATGAAGCAATTCCAGGCCTGCTATTTTAAACATTTAAGATGAGATTTTATCTCTTTGGGAATGGAATTTCACCCCACAAAGGATGCAGTTTCATCATGCAGAGTAATTCTTGCCTACTTACAATATCTGTGAAGACTCCAGGTCTCATCAAATTGATCATCTTAGCTACATGATAAACATCCACACAACTTTCATTTTCTAGCTGATGCATAAGTGTTGTTAAAGCACAGAAGGTACCTGCTGTCACTCCACCATGCCTTATGAAAAAAAAAAAATACACAAATGTATATTTAGAAAATGAACAAGCTCTACATTTTGGTAAAATACACAACTGCTCAATAATAATGCTATTTAGGATTTCCTAGAAGGTTAGAGAATTAATCAAATGTGATTTATTTATGATCAACTGCTGGTTCTAATCATCATTAGAAGGGCATATCCCCTAAAAACATATTAAAGGGTTCACATTCTCCTATTTAAGAGCATCTTCATTACCACTTGATCTGCTTGATTGTTCCAGTTCTCATAAAACATAAAATATAAAAAAATGATGCATGCACACTACTTTTGGACCTTTTACTGGCCATTATAAACCAGTAAATCTCTTGCCTTCTACTTCAAAACTTTGCTTACCATCTGTCCTTTTTTCCTTTTTTCTATTTCTCAAAATCCTTTCTTCTATGAATTTCTTGGGTCTATTTTGAAGCAGAATTAATGTCTTTGAGTTGGCATGACAGTTAACTTTTCTATGCCGCTACATATATTATTATTCTTTTAAGTAGTTTTATATGCATGCTGTTTTAAAGGAGTAAATATAGCAATAGAACATGTAAACACATTTCATTGCTTTAAATTACGGAGGATAGTGCTAGGACACCCGAATAGAAAGTGGGACGCCGTGAGTTCTAGTCCAGCCTTAGCCAGGAATTACTATGGGCCAGTCACACTCTCTCAGCCCAAATCTCTTCACAGGGTTGCTGTGGGGAAAATAGGAGGAGGAAGGAGGAACTCAAGGTATGCTGGCCACCTTTAGCTATTTGTAAAAATAATAAAGGCAGGATGCAAATAAATAAGTAAATATTTAAAAAAAACAGTTTATTTTTTTCCTGACACAACAATGACTAAATAGTAAGAAATTATTAGTCATTGCTTTTGCATGATCCTTTACTTATAATGATTTTCTTATTCTATTAAAGTGTTGCTAATTCTTTCCTGCGTACTCTTAAACCGTTTTGCTCCAGAGACAATTCCCACAGATGCAATATACTGAAGTAGTAGCAGAGTCAAGATATGAGTCAGGAAGGCATTGTTAAAAGATGTTGAATGCTGGCAATTTTTAAGTGGAAGAGAAATTTGGTTCCAATTTCTTTCTATAAATATGACTTTTATAAATCACAGATGCTGTATAAAACATATAGAGAGATGCCAACAACTATTGAAATTGAATTAATACTTACTCATCATGCACAATCATAGGGCCATCTCTGTTGGAAGTTTCTTCTTTGATGATGCTTATAAGTTCAAATGTTTTACTAATAGGGCTATCTGGATTTGGCCACTTTGGACACTGAAAGTGCCTCACTTCAAGAACGTAATCATCCTCAAAGATTAAAAAAAAACAGTGCATTTAATTTATTCATATTTATGAAACAGGTGAAAAACATGTTTGGCTTGTAAATTTCCCACAGTTCTGTGAAAAGGTACTTGCCCCCTTCAGGGTTTTCTGAATGATGACAGCCCTTTGGCACTAAACACATTAGAATTACAGATATATAAAAGACTGAGTGAAAAGAACCTCAGCCTCCTCCTCAAATGCTTGGGACATGTTTCATTTAGTTCATGAACAAATAATCCTACACACAATGTCCCAGTTAATCTACATTCCTTTAAGAAAACAGGAGTGACTTTGGTCAACTCTGTTTTATACAATTTTTAGGTCATTCAAGGGAAATTCTCATCATGCAAATTCTAGACGCAAGTCATAATACCCCTGAAATCAACATTTTGAAAATCTGGGTAAAAAGTCACTGATGCCTTTCAATCTGGAAAATATTACAAAACTATTTCTAAAATTCTGGAGCTCTACTGATCTCTAGTCAGAGACATAATCTTAAAATGGAGAATGTTTGGAAAAACAGCTAATTTCCCCAAAGGTGGCCATCCTGTTAAAATGAATAAAAAAATGCAACGTAAAAACTGAGATCATCATCAAGAGAACTGTGATCCTTTTTTTTTTCCATTTTGCAAAACACGATTGATTGCCAACATGATTGTTTATCTCAGTTATTAAAAACTATCTCTATAGAGGAATGTTTTATGGAGAGATGAATCAAACGTGCCCACATTTAGTCTACAATGATATTGTGATGCCTTGTGGAAGCCAAAGCCTGCGTTTTAGAGGAAGACTTTCATACCAGTTATGAAAGGAAATACTGCCATGGGTAGGGTTGTTTTGCTGCCTTGGGAACCGGACATTTGGTCATCATTTAAGGAACTAAAATATCTGCTTTATATCAGAGAATTGCACATGAGAAAATCAGGACATTAACAATTAACTGAGGAAGCTGAAGAATAAGGGGGTTAAGAAGCAAACATGCAAACAGATCTACAGAAAATGGGTTAAAAAAAATTCAAGATTTGCTTGGATGGCCAGGTCAAATCAAAACCTAAACTTTGTACTAATTTTTTGACAGATTGTGAAATGAGCTGCTCAGGCTAGAAAATTCTGAAATGATATTGAACTGAAACAGCTTGGCATGGAGTAATGCCCAGAGTTCCGATATAGCAATATAAAGAACTAATAACTAATTATAAGAAGCATACTAATCAATTAATTGTTAACTCACTGCCTTGAGTTACTTATAAGGTGATAAAGGGGGAATAAAATCTAATAAATAAATAAATAAATGTGGCTGAGATTACTGCACCTGAAGGTGGTATAACCAGATACTCAAAGGAACAGTTACAATTTCATACTTGTTCACTACACAGTGGATCACAATGCATGAAATAAATGAAACAAGCATCGATGTGACTTATTCACTCAGACTCCTTTTCATATCAGCAAGACTACATGAATTTCTGGTAACATTAAATGGCAAAGTTAAATAAAAATTAAGACCCTCCAAAAGGCTAAATACAGGTAGCCCTCAACTTACGACCACAATGGTGCCCAAAATTTCTATTGATAAGTGAGACATTTATTAAGTGACTTTCTTGCCACAATTGTTAAATGAATCACTGCAGTTAATAAATTAGTAACCCAGTTGTTAAGTGAGTCTGGCTTTCTCATCGACTTTGCTTGTGAAAAGGTCACAAAAGGTGATCATATGATCTTGGGAGACTGCAATGGTCATAAGTATGAACCAATTGCCAAGCATCTGAATTTTGATCACATGTGCTGCAAAGGTCGTAACTGTGAAAAACAGTCATAAGTCATTTTTTTCAATGCAACTTTGAACGGTCACTAAAGGAACAGTTGTAAGTCAAGGACTAACTGTACTTCTTCATAAAAGTATATATACATATTTATTAGTTTAGAAATTTCCATTTTAACTTTAATCATTTTCTGTTGATATGTCTCTATATATCAATGATCCAAATCTCAGAACATGGTGCTTAAATTATATTTTTGGTTGTTATGAATGAACACTTTATTCACTTTAAGAATATTCCAACCAAAGAAGAAATAATTATATTCATGGGTTTACTTTGTGCCTTACTTTAAGATATTTAATTATGACATTTGGAATTACAAAAATATCAATTATAGGGCTAGAAAGCAAGCCATTGTAACCCGCTTCCCCATAAAAGCAAACCGATCATCTGAGTTGTGTTTGAATTCAAATGACAGTAATACTCTATTGTATAGTAGGAGAACAAGTATACTTGTGTAGCTTCTAAAATGAAATCCTGGATTATGAGTTTCTCTTCATTGGACAAACACTTATGTTCTTCCGAAATCAGGCTGACTTTAAAGCTTTCACAATTTATAGGATCTTCTTTATTTGGCCAGTAGACAAATTCATCTTCTGCCTGCTAAAAGGAAAGGAAAAGAAAAAAAAACAACCCCTTCAGATTTGCTATAAACAAAAGTAATGGTTATTTTAATAAACCAAACATGACATAATTTAATTGCACATTCTAAACTTTATGAGTACTATCAAGAATTTTAAAAGATATTGTTCTGGTTTTGTTTAGAAAATCAGTAGTTGTTCAGTGCATTTTAAAGCATAAATACAAACTTTTAAACAAAGTTATCATGCCAGGCAACAATTTCCTATCTCTATTCTTATAACAGAAATATATTATCTTTTCAGAATTCCATCATTTTAAGTATTTTATTTTTATTATTCCTATTATGTCCAAAAGACTATTTCCCATGTCTTCATTAAGATATTAGTAATGAGAAAGGTAGTTTTTTATATCATTTTCTTATTTTTAACATCGAGTTCACTAATCAGTAAAGCGATGAGATTCTGTTTCGTGATTAACAACTCTAGTAAGTAATAAAAACGCTGATATGAAGCAAAGCATTTAATCTTACCATATTCTGACTATCAGGGAGCATAACAATTATTTGAGCATTGTGATCCCATATCATTTTCCAGAAATCTTTGATAGTGTGTAGCAAAGGATGTTGGGTAATAATGAATTCATTACTTTGATAATAACCCTGTAAAGAATACAAATTAAATTAAGGACACCCTGTTTCTTATAAGCATGGCTTCTTATAAGGAATGCTCTTCCACTTAATAGGATTGTGCTGCTTCTTAGAAGCCGCGGAAGAGGCATAATCTTATTAAAAGCAAGAAGATTCCTCCAGAAGGCGAAGTACTAAACCAGTGCATAGACCCCAGACTAATGCAGAAACATTTTAGAGCAGGGATGTCAACCTCGCATCGTCACAGTGTGATGACGTGACATATCACAACTTTTGCCCCCTTTGCTAAACTGGGCGTGAGCATGGCCAGCGTATGACACATCTGGCCAACAGGCCGCAAATTTGACACCCCATAGTGGGTTTCTTGTTCAACCTTTTCCTTGACCTGTTTTATAACTATATGGTTTAGGGTTTTTTTTTAAATGGTTATATTGGCAAGGAAGAGAGTGAAAAATTTAAGATTTGAAAAAACAACCCAAAAAAGAATAGTTTGAAAAGTAATTATAACATTAGGAAGAAACAGAAGGGAGGATTACAGAAGAGAGAATCAGTATTAGAGAGAGAAGGGGTCAAAAAGGGAAGGGAGAAGACGATGGGGAAGAGGGAAAGGAAAATAAATTATAAAGGACAGAAACGGGACATAGAGAAACAGGGGAAACGTACAAAGATTAAGGGTATAAGCCTATTTAGAAGACAGAGAGATAATGGGTGAAAATTTAATTGAAAGGGGGATTCTGCAAGGGTACATAAGATAGTATTGTTATATTAGAAATAGAAATGAACCTTGAAAATATGAAACAAGTGTGATTAAAATGGTAGATAAAATACTCATTGTAATGTAATGGAATGTTTAATAAATAAATGAAATAAAGAGAATAAGAGAATGGAATGAGGAAAGGAGGGGAACATTTTAATTATCATTGTGTTATAAAATTTTAAGTGAAGAGGAATATGAAAGAAATATGAAAAAAATTATGGAAATATTATAAGTGCTCCTAGAAGTATGATATCCTATTGAAAAGAAATGTTAAAGATGTTAAAAATTATAACTAACATTAATGATAGAGCTGAATTGGAATAGAATAAGTATTTTATTTATTATTGTTTTATATATATACTTTTTCTTTAAGAACTTAGTACATATTTTAAGAATGTACCCAGCAGAATTCGACTGGAAGTTATGTGTTATATTGAATGTTATAATTGTAAAGGCATAAATTGAAATTTAAATACGATGTAAAGATCCAATCAGTAACTACAGGGGAAAATTTTGTTTAATGAGAAAAGAAAATATGAAATTGAAACAGGATAGACAAAAGCATAAATATAATGATTAGAAAGATATTGAAACTTAGAAAAAGATATATAATTGAATTTAGAAAGGAATGAGATAATTAAAAGTAAGATTGAGAAAACTAAGGGAAGAGAAAAATTATTGAGAAAATGTTAAAATAGTAATAAGATATGGAATAGAACACAAAAATGAATATGAAATTGAATTTGTGTCTGTATGGAGAAGTGATAACTCGGGACCTATTCTCCAAAAAAGAAATTTTACTTGTATTATGTTTTGTGAAACCCAAATAAAATTTCTTTTTAAAAAAAGAAAAAGCACATTTGGGACAACTCTAAAAATGTTGATGTAGCATAATTTTACTAGTTCTCTATAAATATACTTTAAATTGGCTATTTATATGTTCAATTAGAGTGATAAATAATTTGTGCTTTTTTGTGGTTTTAACTACGTTTAGTTATTTATAGGTTTTAATTTCCCTTTTATTTTCTAGGGATTTTTACCACTGCTTATAGTGTAGTGTAGTGTAGCGTAGTGTAGTATACTATATAGTCTAGTCTAGCATATACTTCCCTCTTCACTGTACAGCTTGTTAAAAACTTTTAAAAACAAGAAAGCAACAACACAACAAAAAAGATGGCAGAAATGACAAAACTCAATTGGTCGTGGTCTTTGTGCTGAAAAATTAATCTGAATTGTGTTTCTGTGGTACTTTCCTCTTCTTTTTATTGTATTTGTTTTTATATTTTTTCCCTCTTCTCATATTGACTCACAGAACACCTTCAGATTGCAGTAGGGATTTTCAATGGGACTGATTATTTAGATTTCCTTTCCTTCCAGAAGTTCTAAAATAGGTGAATTAAAGTTCCCAAAGATGATGGCTTTCATTAAAAAGACCCCAGTATGAGCCTCCAGTCCCTGGCCTCTATTTTCCTTTCACTCTGCAATCAGTGGGAAATGGACAGAGCTGGAGGCGGGGTGGGAATTGCTTAAAGCTGCAGTTACTCCATCCTGGGGCTGGAGTGGTTCAAAAAGCTACAAATAAATATTAAACTGTCATCTCCAGCTATAAATAGCTCCTGTTTTCTAACTTAAGGACTAGCATGGATTTCTGAATAACTCTTCACCTTAAAGAAAGCTGTGTCATGGTATCAAAGCCAGACATTGTGTAACGTAGTGCTGGTCCTTTAATTTTACTTGATGTATTGATGCCAGTTGGCTCAACCTATGGACGGCCCTTAATTCACACCAAATAATTACAGCTCTTGGTGTTCTCCTTGCCCTACCTAGGTTTGTTGCTGCTTTGTTGGGCAAATGGGCAGGCCTTGGCTGACACAAAGGAAATTCCTCAGAAAGCTGACACAAATGTGTAGATCAATTCAAATTGCAGTGTGATTTACAGGGTAACTCACCATAATATAGGACGCATTGATGTAATCAGTGCCCTCACCAGACAATGATGAAATACCAACTCTAGATCTTTCTACTGTAACACAAATATAAGAATTTATTGGGGAGGGTGGTGGCCAAGCACCAACCATTTTATGACA